GGCTACGCCTGGTGCCACCTTTTCCATATCAGCCTGTTCTCCGCTATGGTGGCGATCTTGCCCTTTAACAGCCAGTTCCTCAGGAATGTTCTTCTTTTGATCGTGTGCTTTTCTGGTCTGTGCGTCATGGATGAGGATATTTTCCGCCACCTGGCCCGAATCTCGGTCTCCACCATGCTTATCAGAAGGGTCCACATTTCCTCCCTTGTCACCTCTCTTCAATTGTCCGTGTGCATCTGCGTTTCCAGATGACCCAGAGAGCCAGTTTTCTGAGTAGATTGAACCAGACTTCTTTTTCCTGGGAGTGTTAGAGAGGAGTAGGATTGTTAGAGGGGAGGTGTTTGGCGGTGGAGATGAAAAGAGGGTGGACCAAAGGTACCGAACTTTGTTCCAGATCCAGTTTGCTTCAGGACAGTAGAGGAGGCAGTGGGGGATGTCTTCTGTTGTGTTGTTGTAGCACAAGGCGCAGAGTTCTGAGCTTTCTGGGTCTGAGTGTCTCCTTCTTTTGTGGAGCCATTGATTGACCGGGAGGGCTGCGTGTGCTAGGAGCCATTGCATGCTGTGGATTCTGGCTGGCCTAATAAGGAGGTATTTGGTCCAGGGAATGGTGCATGGGGTCGAGGGGTCTAGATTCAGAATGGGCCAGGGAATGGTGCATGGGGTCGAGGGGTCTAGATTCAGGTATTTGGTCCAGGGAATGGTGCATGGGGTCGAGGGGTCAGGGGTATTAGATCCTGTTTTGTTGAAAAACAAAAAAACAAAAAAAAAACAAAAACAACAAAAATAAGATTTTAGCTGAAGTGTTAGCCAACAAAATTATTTCAGTCACCGAGAATTGTTGTCACTTGGACGGGGCTCATCCCGAGAAGATGTATCCTGGATAATGGGCCTTGCTCCACTACTCTCTGAATGTGCGAAGTGAGAATAAGTCTTTCACTAGAACGTGGAAAGATACACCGCCATATTTTTTGTCTTTTGTGGATGAGGAGAGTAGTGGAGTGCGGCCCAATGTGACGACCCTGGCAAAATCAGTCAGATAGGACAGAAAGATGAATGCAGCGATTTTTCCTTTTTTTTTGTTTTTGAGAAAGCACGCAACCATGTCAATTGGAATTTCTTGCCGCACTGCATGGAAACAGTTCCAGTCAGCCCTAACTTCAGAAAGTGGGTCAAAGTACTGTATGCCGTTGCTCAAGGGAAGGTCAAGGTCAATAGCCATATTTCAAATTCGTACAAAATGCACAAGAGACAAATTGGGAGCACGATCTTCCTCTTTAGTATGGAAGCAATAGTTTCCCCTCTCCACAAAGATCAAGCAGGACAATGCCCCAAGCATGTCTAAATGTGCTCTTTCCTTTCAGCATTTATTCATTTATTTATTTCAAATTATTTGTCATTGTTGCTGCACTTTTATCTGGACCAGTTTGTCTGTTCCTACAGTAGGGTGTCGTTTCGGATTTTCCTTAGTCCGAACAGACCGGTGTCCGTTTGGACCACTGGTCCACGTTTGAGGCCGAGAGAGGCCAGGTTCAGTTTAGGTACCCTGCTGCATCAGCAGGATGCCCTGGACTTCCGGTAGGGACCCAGGCAGCCCGATATTTTGTCACGTCCGCAGGACCAGGACTTTGGGCCTGCATTCAGGACCACCAATCGGATGGTAGATTGGACGGCCCTGACTGCAGACCTCGGGCGATCGAGCCAGACCCAGTGCTATATAGCTGGCCCAGTCCAGCAGTCCAGGACATTCAGCTGGACATCAGTTTGGGCATCAAGCTGCTGGAGCAGCCCCAGATTGTCAAGAGCTGCGCTAGAGTAGAGGTAGCGGAGTAGGAGGTAGAGGAGTGCAGAGGCTGGTGAGCCATAGCCGCAGAGTTGGAGGGTGACTTAGCTGGGCGCCATAGCTTGGACTGGACTCCAGCGACCTGCATCAGAGAGCGCCACTCCACCAGTCAGTATCGGCGGGGTATCAGCAGCAGCAGGTGAGAGGGAGGATATCTCTCCTTCTCTTTCTTCGTCCTCCCTCCATACTTCATCGATGCCCATTGTCCCTTCTTTTCTCCTTCTTCTTCTTCTTCTTCGTCGTCTTCTTCTTTTCCTTTCACACACACACACACACACACACACACACACACACAGAGAGAGAGAGAGAGAGAGAGAGAGAGAGAGAGAGAGAGAGAGAGAGAGAGAGAGNACACACACACACACACACACACACACAGAGAGAGAGAGAGAGAGAGAGAGAGAGAGAGAGAGAGAGAGAGAGAGAGAGAGAGAGAGAGAGAGAATTTCCTGGAAGAAGCTATTTCGGGTGACAAGCACCACTGGTCTGATTCGACATCTCAGGGTCAGACATTGATTGGACATTGGACAGGGAGACTATTCTTGGACAGCGGTGATTTCGACTCTTGTCTACTCCTTTCTTCTCCATCTTCATCTAGCTCCTCCCTCTCCATCGTCCATGGACTTCTCCCCATGTGTGTGTTGCAAGGCGGGATCTTTTCTTCTATGGATGCTCCCCGCCTTGCCATCTCCCATGTGTGATGATATGGTTGTGAGCCGGGTCTGAGTCCGAGATGTCAGGTCGTATCTTTGAGTCTTCCACTGTGCTACATTGTCTTATTTCGTGATTGTTTGGACATACACTGCTTTCTTGCTGATGTGCTGTATGTCTGGGTCCTTCTCATCACCTTGCCGGTCCTTCGGTTCTACTGGATTGCTCTTGCTGATATGAGCATGTGTCAGGGGGGGAGCACTACTCTGAAGGGATTGACAAGGTGGGGGGTGAAAGTTCTGGAGGGGGTAGGTGCAGATCGTGGAGGGTTGCCCTTTTCTGGGGCTGGAGGTGGGTTGGTATTCAACCCCAGTGGGGGCAGGTAGGGGCAAGGGGTAGCGAGGGCATACTTTAGGAGGGAACTGGATGGGAGCGACGCTGGCTGGAGACGGGGTGAAGGGGTGCAACCCTGTGCTTTAGCCTATTGGGGGCTTGACGCCTGGTAGAGAGATCTGGGGGACTGTTTTGGGGGGGGCAGTTCCAAGGGCCAACAGGGCCGGAGCCGGAGTGAGGTGAAGCCAGAGCGACGCTGGCCGGAGCCGGAGTGAGGTGGCGTAACTCTGTAACCCAGCCTGTCGTGGCTGCGAGGCCTGGTAAAGAGATTTGGTTTTTGATGGAATATGGCTACACTGGCAGAAGGTCTCAGTTGGGTCTGGGTGGGTACTCACTCCTATAACTGTTAAAGAATTTTCACTGTAGGAGCGGAACTGGAGGCTGGGCGACCTTGGTAGTGTGTGGTGGCTTGTACGATGCCGTGCTGAGCTGTCATGTCTTAGTAACAGAGTGTCGATGTCAGAACGACGATGGCCAGCGCTGGGGTTTGGTCGCGCTGACCTGTAACTCAGGTTTGGCCGGGGCACGAGGCCTGGTGGAGAGATCTGGGGAATTGTCGAGGGTGGAAGGCAATTCCAGTGGCCATCTGTGAACTACCAGCAGGGTGGGTGGAGCTGGGTTGGGTTGTGCTGCCTGGTAACTTAGCCAGGGGGCGTGAGGCCTGGTAGAGTCTTGGTTTGAGGACAAGATGGTTGAGGCAGGGGTTGGGACTTGGAAGGCTTACTAGACAGGGCGAGGGTAGTTTGATTTCGGTTTGTTGCGCCCCAGTTTAGTCTCAGTGATCGCTAGGCGAGGTGCTATGACTTTCCGCACATTCTAGTGGATTTCTTCATTATATGGTTTTCTCAGAGGGCTGTTTCTCATGAACATACTTTTGTTAATTCTTATCTTCATGAACACTCTTGTCACTCTCAGTCCCCCTTATGGATTCTCCAAGAGCCAGGGGGGTTCTAGTGGTCCATCTGAAGCTGCGCTGAAGCTGTTTATTAGAGATTCGTGGTTTTCCGGACGCCAGAACGACGCTGGCAGGAGCTGGGGTGTTGCCCTGTAACCACCTGATGGCAGGGGCGTGAGGCCTGGTAGAGATATCTGTGGGGGGCAGCTGGGGGTTGCTGTCAGGATGACGCTGGCC